TCTAGCATTATCTCTGAGTCAGAAAACCCCAGTATTCCCGAGTCCGTCTATTCAGGAGATCAATGGGCTTGGCGTCTACCTATACTCTTCCAAGCTCTCGGACCTACGATTCTATTGTGCTTTACATCTGCATCTCTTCTTCCTGGCAGGTTATCTTACACCACCGGAACCAGTGCACATTCACCGTTTGCTGTCCCGGAATCTCCTCGATGGCTTGTAGCACATGGTCATCTTACCGAAGCGCATTCAGTTTTAGCGCAGGTTCATGCTAATGGAGATATGGAGGACGAGTTGGTATTGGGGGAGTTGGGAGAGATTCAGGATTGTTTGGTTAAGGAGAGGGAAGAAGCTGTCGGGAAGGGCATATGGGAAGGGTGGAAAGATCTGTGGAGAACAGAAGGATTGAGGCGGAGAATGCTTGTTGTTACAATTATCGGTGCTGGATCGCAATTGAAAGGAAGTGAGTTTTTTTTTCCTACTATTACTAATTTCCCTTTGCTCTATTCTTCCTCCTGTTTATGCGGTTTCAAGTCACATCCTTGATTAACGCTGTTTGCTTTCCATTTGATTAGCCTCAGCTATAGCAAGCTACATTACTCCTATCTTGAACCTCGTTGGATTTGTCAATCCAGACAAGATAGGTAAGTGAATCGTAGATTTCTCCTCATCGTCTATTATCTACTCAGATCCAATACTAAATCATCAGCCGTTATCAATGGATGCTTGACAACTTGCGACTTCATCTCTGCGATTGGTGGTGCACTATGCGTTAACTCCGTGGGTCGAAGACCTCTTTGGATTATTTCGACTGCTGGGTTACTTGTGTGTTTCGCGGTCATGACCGCTCTAGCAGTAAGTTTTCACCTTTTCCGGTACTGTATTCCCGAAGGAAAAAAAGAAAGACGAAACCAATAACCCAAAAAAAAAATTTTTTTTTTCTTTTCTCTTTTTCTAGGCTGTTTTCGCTCAAACCTCCTCTATGCCCGCCGCCTACGCCTTCATCGTAGTCCTATTCATCCTGCGTGTATTCAACGGAATGGGATGGGCGCCGTTAACACATAACTACCCTGCGGAAATTCTACCGTATTCTATACGAGCAAGAGCGCTTTCATATTTCACGTTCCTCGAAACATCGGTTTTAGCTCTCAACTTGTGGCTTCATCCTGTTGCGTTCCAGCATCTTGGGGTGCGTGTTCAATTCATTCAGCTCATAACCCTTGAGTCCTCTGGGTTGAAGTTTATGGTTCGTTGTTGTAGTGGAGATATTTCCTTGTGTTCGTCGCTGTGCTTTCAGCACTTCTGATTGCGATATGGTTCTTGTTCATCGAGACGAGGTGAGACCAAGACATTTCTATTTATTCTTGGCTGCAACTGATCTCAAGAAAACCCCCCCTCATCTGCTTTGTAGAGGACGTACAATCGAGCAAGTGAGCATATTATTCGATTTCTCGCCCGGTGAGCGAGAAAGAATGGGTTCACATCCAGACCTTGAAAATCACGAAAGGGATGCAAGTTTGAATGAGAAGAGTACATAGTAGATCTTGGTCGCAGCGTATATAATATCATGTTATTTATATACTAACAGTTTGTGCAATGGAGGGACTGTGGACCCTTCAACTCGCCAAAGTCTTTGTATGACAAAAGACCCATAGAACCAGTTGTCGAATTTTGCAAGTTCTAACAAGATAACTGTAAGTAATCATTCAATGTCGCACTACTACAGCAATTTCCCCCAACTTTGAAACTTTAGCATTTTGAAGTTTTAATCTGATATCTTCAATCATGTACATTATTCAAGTTTCACAGAAGTAACAACTCAGTCAGGTTTATTATAAACAGTGTCCCATTTTTGAGGTAGTCATCCCTATCCATATTATTCCAACATTAGACAGGAACAATTAGCTCATATTCCTAACACGCTTGGTAGATGAATTAATTGCACATATGACAAAAGTCAAATCTCTATGAATATAACAAGCACCCTATTAGCATTGGTTCCTAGTTGGTTTAGCTTACCTGGGGTAAGTAGATTAATGTATGTTATTGGATACACCAAAATGTACTATCAATTACAGATTGATTTACCTCCAAGGACAAACAACCCCTCAGAAGTACGCAGAACAGGAACCATTCAACCCAAGTCTCTGGGATAGATAATTATAGTATACTCCGTCAGCAACAGGTGTAGAGTCAGTTCTGTATGCTATGTGAAGTGGATATATTCATGAATGGATGGATGGATAGACAAAGTCAAGTTATCACAACAGAACCTGGGAAAGTGATAAAATCAAGATATGGCAAACACTACACTTTACTTCTAATATTCTACAACTCGTGATAAAAGTATAAAGCCAAAAAAAAAGTAAAAGCATATAACCTCAACCTGAGAAATAAATATATTCAATCAGAAATTTTCTACTTGAAACCTCCAACATAAATTCTTTACTCAAGACACTCGTTGTCACTACTGATTGCATTTGTTTGGGGGTTTATTAGGATTCGGGAAAACCTACCCCCCCCCCCCCCCCCCCCCCCCCCCCCCGAATCTGAATAACAGCATCCTTTGTACTATCTCTTACATTTTTCAAGAACTGAGCAAGGTAAGTCCCTCCTGTTCCTTTTAATCGTTCCTCTCCCTCCCCCTCTTCCTCTCCCCCCTTCGCACCCTTCAGGCCCCTCTCCCTGGCAGCAGGCCCAATAATATACCTGGCGACAAGAACAAAATGGGCATCCCTGAAATGTTTAAGCGAGGTGATGCAAGAGTTGTATGCGGTGAGTAGATGGAGGGCGTCTGTGGAGGAGGAAGGGACGGTGTCGGAATGTTGTAAAGATAATGTCGCATGCAGAACTAAATCCCGTAAACACCTTGTTTTGTGCTGGGTGGTGTGGTCGTGGATTGGAATTTGAAGACGTTGAAGATGAATAAGAAAATTCCTATGATGTCGAGGCATGTATAATTGCATTCTGGATAAGAAACTGTTCGTTCCATGCAGGGAATGAGAAAAGGTGGAAAGACCGAGAAAGAGATCTAGAGCATGGATGAGAGAACTTTGACCTGCGGAAGGACCTGATAATTCTGTAGGTATAGTCAGAGTTGGATCGAGGGAGATGCCTTGGAATATCCATGGTCTGTCCACATCCACGCCGTTGAACCAAGGCCTGATCTCCTCGTAGAACACACGAGGGTCGCATCCGCTGTACATGTTGTTCAGCTCTGCTTGCATTTCACCGAGTATGCCTCCCAGCGCGTCCAGCCACCTTGCGATCCTCTTGACCGCAATTGCATCCCCTACAAACAATTCATCCATCATCAACTGCATAACCTTCAACGCTCGCACACCAATGATCTCTATCCGCGCAGATGTCAAGTAGAAATGGGATTCAGAGGCTGTGGAGGTGAATGAGGTTAGGATTCGGAGGTTGTTTGGGTTTATCGTGTCCTTGTCGTTGGAGGTGCCCTTGTCGTTGGAGGTGTCCTTGTCGTCGTCGGTGCCCTTGTCGCCGTCGTACGCCCAATTATACAACACATCGTCTGAATACGTCAACACCGGTGGAAGCTGCAACTCTCTACCAACTTGAAGAAGAGGTAGAGTCAAGGAAGGGGGTATGTGTATTGCAGAGTCGAATGTCGGGGTAGTATGAACATAAAAATGTAAAATCCAAGCCAAAACATGATGTGCCCTTCTCAACATAATCTCTGATTGTACTAATCCATTTATTCGTAGGATTTCCATCTAGAAAATAACTCAGCATCAGCTAGAAAGTTGAGAAAAATCCAATCCAAATCCTCACCTCTCTCACTCGTTTTCTCCATAATTCATTATTATTCCTCTCTTCTTCTTCCATATCACCATCCGCAAGCTTCAACCCCCCTTTCATCGCTTCATCTAATACTTCTTCCCAAACTTCATACCTAATACATTCCTCCACCCCACCATCCAGTACTACAACCGAAAAAAGTCTTTCCAACGGTGGCTGCGGTGGCATAAACCCCGTCCGAGGATCAACGTCGAAATCATGTGCCGCTAGTGTCGTCGTGTCCACGATGGCTGGAGTGGATGTCACAGGCTTCGTACCAAACGAAGGGGTATTAGCAGGTCGTGGAAGTGATAAAAAATGCATTCCACTAGCATCTTTGTCATTCGAGATCGTTGAGAATGTATCCTTGTTGGACGAGGGGGACGAGTTGGATGGTTCTGTGAACGTATACGTGTATGACGGCGACGGCAACGACGACGACGACGACGACAACGATTCCAACGACGTAGACGTCCTCGACTGTGCTTGTTCCATATCTTGCTTGCCTTTCGTTGTGGAATTTGTAAGAATAAAAATTGATAACAAATCTAGACTTTTGTCTGCATCCGGAAGGATCAAGGATCTCGGATCGGCCCAAACAAATATTCCGTGCCCGACAAATATGTGGTATGCCCCCTCAGATCCCAGTTCAATTGATGGTACACTGGGCTTGTCTAGGGCTGTCTTCAAATTCCAGATAATTGTGAACGCTTCACAGTTGGTTGATCGCAGAGAGGAGGGAGGTTCGACTTGGCAGTAAGATCAGAATGCTCGAATGCGACGCCCGAGTCAGTGATGGTCAAGAAGGGATAAGAATTTTCAAAATCAAGTATACAGCTTTAACCATTCTTGCCAAAAGGCCCACCATTCCAGAAGGGTTTGTGCTTGCTCCTCGACTTTGGTATGAGGAACTTCCATCCATCCAGTGAATACAAACCCCGAACTCTATTCTCAAGCACAAAATAGGAACTATCTATCTATCTATCTATCTTTTCTGACTCCTGACTCCTCTTTGTGCATTTATCATAAAATCAACTAAAAGAGAAATAAATTCGAAAAAAAAACAGATAACATTGATCATTATAGACATTTTATATACCTATGAATATATATATATATCCGTGCAAAAGTTCAAAAAATGATAAAACAAAACCAGAGAAACAAACAATATACAAAGAGAAGAGAAAAATAAAAACAATCCATGCATTAAGAGGGAATCGAACCCCCGGCGGGTCGAATGACCAACAAACAATACAAGCTGGTATGTGTTATCTTCAACTTATGGCAACGACCCAGGTTACCACTACCCCATTAATGCGTGTACTGCTGTTATAAGGGAAAATTCAGAAATTGAGCTGCTGGATGGAAGTAGTATAGAAACAACTATGTAATTATAATTGTAATAAGCTTTCCTTCTCCTCCTCCTCCTCATCTTACATGTCACGACATTCCCGACATTTCACTGGGTATATCTGCCTCTTGCCCACAAACGCGATCAATAACAACTTTCAATTTTATATCCTACACATGACAAGTTCTTGAGCAGCTACTCCTATAATAAATTTTTTTTTCTTCTTTCGGATATCAAGCCAATGAACTAATTATTAATACTCACCATGAGCGAAAAGTAGATTTCGTTCGGAATCATAAACGATTGAGGTAGAACCTGATACGATTGTTCCGTTATCTTCGAAGACCTGGAATAAGTTGTGTAAGTTGTTTGGTGTCGAAAGAAAAGGAAAAGGAAAGGAAAGAAAATCGATTAGCAAAAGAATCAACGCCATGAACGGTTTCTCAAGTGAATACCTTTTCGACATTATATTTCTCCCCATAAAACGAACCCAAACCTATATTTGTTGAGATTCTGAATCCTGCAACAGGAGAGAGATGGTGTGGATTTTTCGTCAAGTGTTCTACTATATCTTGAGCTTTTGGGAAGGCTGAAATACCACCAATTTCAGTTGGGCGTTATTAGTATATTATTATAAAACCATGCCCCCCTAGGGCTAGCGGCGCTACACTGCAGCCTAGCCACCCATTCGACACTTACCTGCAGCCCACAAGTTTCCCTCATTATCCAAAGAGAGATTATCCAAAACTTGACCTATTTTCCGTGAATCGTAAAAAAAAAAAACAAGCTCGTTAATCATCCTGAATGTTCAATAATAACCAAAAAGCCTCAGAAATACACACCAACATATACAACATCCAACAAAACCAACGAATTATCTACCTGTCTTTCAAAAACCGATATTTTCCCTCCTAGATTACTCGCTACGTATACCGTGTCATTTGTGTTTGTTTTAGCGATTCCATTATTAGCGTGTAACCCAGATGCAACGATTTTGCAACCACGATCTAGGTGACAGTATCCGACGGAGGTTGTTGCTGAAAATGCGTTTCGGAGAAGGCGGGCCTGGGGAAAAAAATATAGGAGAGGAGATGTTGAGGTTAGTGGATATCAAGGGAGGGACGGAGCGGGAACGAACATACATGTGCAATTTTGGAACCATGATCATTAGTAAAGAAAAACCCCTTCCCGTCAGCATCTCCAGCGACATCATTCGGTGTGAGTATAACCGAATCTCTAACAGTCTTTATATGTGTCAACCTGTCTCCTGATACCGTCGTCTTGAACACCTCAATAACCGAATCCGCACCGACATTTCGGGCATCTTGACCGTTTGAAGGAGCACGGTGATTGACTACATACACGAAAAGCTCTTTCGGGTTGAAAGTTGATACGACGACGTCCATGCCATGTACAGATAGAGGTTGATCACTGGTGTAGTTCTCAAGTCGGAGATGTTTGATTTTCAAAGTGACAGGATCAAACGTGGCGATATAATCACCAGTAGACCGTCCTTGAGCGTTAAGCTGACTCATTGCAGGGGTCCATGCAAGCCTGCTTTCCGGAGTCGAACAAGCTAGATATATAATACCAGAAGGCTGGTGTAAAACGAGTTCTGCAAAACAAAAAACAAAAAAAAGCACACAAATTGTTCAGTACTCAACCAGCCGTTTTACAGAAACAAATACATACTTTCGCATGCCTGTAACTCTGGTATCTTCTTACACTTGGCAGCGTCCAGTCCGAAAGTCTCCACAGTGCGGAATATACCCAAAGTTTTAAGTAAGGGGCTTAGATATATTTGAAATAAGATTGCAAGCAAGGCAAAGACGACGGCTAGGAGGGTAAGCAAAATACGCGCCATGGAAGTGTTGATAGAAGGTTTTTGCGGTCCTCCTCTCCACAACCTGATTATATTAGAAATGCGATGAATTGGAAATTCATGAAATCAGCTGAAGACTCGTCTCGTTAAGCCCCTGTAATTTGAAAGATGAATTAAAAACGCTTTGTTAGAGAACTAGTTGTGCATTGCAGCTGTTTGCTCCAACAGCCGATTGGCAGAGAGTTTTAGCGGATCTGGAAGGATAAGAGGTACATAAGTAACGGAATGGTTCGAAGAAGTTGGAACGATGATGTACTCGATAAGATAAGATTTCGCATCCGGAAAGCTTAGCGCGATCATTCCCACTCCAATTTACTCAAAGACCAGTCTAGGAGGGAGTGCAATTACGAGGGATTGAGGAGGCCCTGCGCTTGGAGTATGCACATAGGAATGGAACTGGAACTTTCTGATATTCACAAAAAGAATGGGATCTCGGGAGGACGAAGAGTATAATAGAGTTTTCAGGAGATATTTATGCTGAGTTTATGCTCTGAATTTCCGCGTATAGATTAGATTTACATCCAATCCACATGATCTCTTTCTCGTCAGCGGATATATCCAACGCTCTCAAGTTCCGCAGGATTGACTTTGGAAACAATTCGAATTCTTGAGGATGCCGGAAATTCCTGGTGGGAGACCGTGGGTCTGAAGGAACGAGAGATGAATATAGCAGAGGAAGGTAGAGTCCTTGATTATTAGCAGGTCAGAGTTCTGATATCCATCGGTTCGGATAAGTGGCAAAGCGATAAGAGGGCAAAGAGATAAATGGGAAGACGAGTACCAGGGAGTAGAAGCAAGAAACTGTCATTGAGCAGACTAGGGAGAGTGGAGTGAGTGAAAGTTCCGGTCAAAGCCATTCTAAGCCCCAGCCATTGATTAAACCCCCCTTCTAGTTGAGTTCTTAAGCCTCCTAGCCCTCCACCCGGGTCCAATTCTCATAACCACATACACAATCGGCGTCATTGCCGCACATACACAACCCAGCAAAACAAATGTCCACCCCGGACTCAGTGCATCCACTATAGGATCAATCACCGAGACGAGGATCGCACCGAGACACCCTCGGAAGAGATTGTTCTATGTATGTATGTACAAAAGAGTTCAGAGGATTAATCATGTAGATTAAAATTTTCAATAAAGTCACACAAAGAAAGAAAGAGAGCTCACACAAGCGGAGACGGAAGAACTTTGAGTGGGTAACAAGTCTACAACAAATGTTGCAGATGCGTTCATCATAATGATAGCAGTGCATCCCACTAGAGTAGTGAACAGTGTCAAGTTAGTACATATCAAGGGTGACTTTGAGGAAGATGGATTATATTGACTCATGAATAACAGGACAAAAAACAAAGTCTCACCGACAAACTGCAGGATCAACGGTCCACTAATATGGACTTGTCGTTCAATGCACCATCCATATCCTAGGTTTGCCCCAATGAAGAAGATCATGAACAGAGGGACAAGGCGGAGGCGAGCCTTTTAGCAATTAGGAATGTTCAGTAGGATTTAAAGAACATTGAGAGAAAATATCATATCATATCACACCTTCTCAATCGGGAAATCCTCGTCAAACTTTCCCGTCTTCTTCTCTTCCCCACGTTCTCCATCCTTCCTATTCCTCACCAACTTTTTCGTCCTCTCCTCCATCTCCCTCCTCACCCTCCCAAACTCCCAATCCAACACTCTGCCACTCATCAAACTCCCCAAGAACATCCCACCCCCAATACTCAAAAAACACAACCCTACCTTCGTCTCATCTAAAAACGGGTACGCTGAGGCGAATAAAGTGGATATAGTCGTAGTGACTGCGTAGTACACTGCGTTTATGATACCGTTGAAGAAGAGAATAAGAGTTATGTCGAGGTTTTTGAGAATTAAGAAGGGGTTCTGGAATTTCTTGTGAGTTTTGGTCTTTTGTGCTGGTGCAGTTCTGGCGCGGCCTCGACCGACGATCCGGATGAGAGGTTGGTGGATAGGTGTTGTGAGAAGGCTTCCGTTGCCTACGATGGATCTGAGGGTTTCAGGGAGAACGCTGTGTATGAGGAAACATGAACGTCAGTCAAGGTATTCTGAAAAACCTCATTGAAGAAACAAAAGTCCTCACATGATCACGACTACAAACGCGACCCCTGATGATATACAAAGAAACCAAAAGATTGACCTATCCGAATGAAAGACATGGAACAACCAACACGTCAGGACGCCGTTTAGGAGAAGTGAAAATAAAGACGTGAATACCTCCATCCCAGAGATCCAGCAAGAGCCCCTCCAATGACTGGTCCTATCCCGGGGGCGAGCTATTAGGAAAAACAACATCTTTATTTAGAAACGAATTCAACGCGGCACTTTTAACAAACCAATGGTCCACTCTGATACACCCCGATTAATCCACCCCGCTCGTGAGATTCTGCAATGTCTCCGATTACACCTGCGCCTATATTACACGAATGGGATAAGTATACGACGATAGTAAGGGGTTCTGTGAGATACTCACCCAATGCAATCGTACTAGCCGAACCTGTTGATTGGAAGCACCGAAGCAAGAGAAGAAGCCAATATGCCGATGTCGGGGTCAATGCTAAACCGACGCAGGTGATGGATAGGATGAGAAGGCAGGAGGCGTAGATGATTCGTCTTCCGACCTGATATGGTGAGCCGCGGCAGTATGTATCGACATTAGTGATCACCGTACTTTATGGAGTAGATAGACAAGACGTAAATTCCAAACACTTACATTATCTGCCAAAGCCCCGAAGAGCATTGGAGCTGTTGAAACGAAACGACATTGAGGGTATCAGTGGAACCGTGTGTTGGACGTTGAACTGAAAGAGGTGTGTACGTACAAATTCCTTGAAATACCATGTACATCGTAACCTACATACCAAAAAATCACACTCAGCTGTCAGATATGATTATGCATAGTAGTAGAACACGACACGACGAAACTCAACTGTAAGATTGATCAACTCCGTCGATTTGTGGAACGCATCCGCGATGCTGGGTATAGCAGGGACTAATAAGAGGTTTATATATATGAGTGCTATAAAGGGTGAACCTCGAGGAGAGTTTAACCTACAGTAAACAT